GTCCACTGCATGCGGAACTTTGTCGACTGTTAACGTTCGTCATTATCGCGATTTAGGAGGAAAAAAACGTAACGTGATGAAACATGCAGCCCCCCCCCCCCAGAGTAAACCAGATTAATAGATTTTTATTATATATAAAATAACTCGATACCTAAACTCTGGATCTTTCTTTTCCTCAATGTGTGTTTCCTGTTTCCTGCAGACGTCCAGCAGCTGTTAGCAAATAAAGAAGAGGTTCCCTCTGAGCAGCAGGAGTGGAGCTCCAGTCTGGACCAGGAGGACCCAGAGCCCCCACACATTAAAGAGGAACAGGAGGAACTCTGGACCAGTCAGGAGGGAGAGCAGCTTCAAGGTCTGGAGGAGGCTGGTATCAAGTTCTCATTCACTCCTGTGAAGAGTGAAGATGATGAAGAGGAAGCTCAGTCCTCACTTCATCAAAGACAAACTGAACAGATGGAAACAGAAGCTGATGGAGAGGACTGTGGAGGACCAGAACCAGCATGGAACTCAGATCCAGGTAGACATCCAGAAACTGTAGATAAGACAGGAGACTCTCTTGAACCTCAGACTGATGACGACGCCAGAGAACCTCAGTCCGGTTTAAACTCTCTGAATAACGATGGCGTTCCTGTAAACGATGTCAAATATAATGTTGGCAAAAAATCTTTTATCTGCTGCGAATGTGGTCGCAAATTTGGCCGTAAGGACAGTCTGCGGAGACACATGAGGTTTCACACGGGAGAGAAACCGTACAGTTGCTCAGTGTGTGGTAAAGGATTTTCTCAGAGGCCGAACTTGATTCGTCACATGAGATGTCACTCCGGAGAGAAACCGTTCCGCTGCTCCTTCTGCGACACAAGTTTCGCTGTGCGGAGCGCTCTGGTGAATCACATGAGAATCCACACCGGGGAGAAACCGTTCAGCTGCTTGTATTGTGACAAAAGCTTCACTCAAAAGGGAGGCCTGAAGAAACACATGACCGTCCACACAGGAGAGAAACCATTTAGCTGTCCGGTGTGCGATAAATGTTTTTCCCAAAAGGCCAATCTGACGTACCACTTCTCATTGCACACGGGACAGAAACAGTTCAGCTGCAGCGTTTGTGACAAACGGTTCACGTGGCAGTCGCAGGTCCGAAGTCACAAGTGTGTCGGCGAGAGCAGTAAATAGGGATCGATACCCAAACCCCGGTTTTAAGCGGGCGCCTGTTCAACATAATTAAAGACCGGAGTGTTGATCAGAGGATCAATGCACCTGTTCAACAAGCGTAAACATGATCTGCTCTGTCCTCCATGTTTACGCAGCTAGCTCGGCTAATTATTACCAACAAGCTGAAACGGAAGCTGTTCATTTCTCTGTCGTCAAAATATTGATTTTTATTTCTATACATTTGCATTTGATTCTGTTTTAACAAGTGCTTGTGAACATAACGTTTAGCCCTCTTTGTAAAGAAAACACTAGATTTACAGATATTGAAGACATCTATCTATGATGTTATTAAGTGTAATGTCATTTTCATATAACTTGTAACGCTGATTATATACAGTAACAAAAAGATGTAAACTGTAAGAGGAAGTAGTAAGAAATGATTTCTGAACAGAGTTTTGTGCGTTAATATTAAAACCACTGACGGTACTACAGAGTTTATGTACTATGTTGGATATACTGACGTTATGACATGAAAGTGCTGATGATATTTACTGAAAATAAATGTTGAATGAGAAATGAGTTTGGTGTCATCGAGTATTTTGGTGATTAGTATGTATGTAATTGTACATATCCATAACTTCTGCATGCTGGGTTTACTCCACCGTCCACAACCTCAAAGGCAGTAGTGGAGGACTTTGTGGAGTGGGCCGGTAGAAATCACCTGATTCTGAACGTGGCCAAGACCTCAGGTGGTCGACTTCAGGAGGAAGACGACGGCTCCACAACCGCTGAGAGTTCTGCGAGAGGATGTGGACATGGTGGAGGAGGACAAGTACCTGGGTGTCTCCATCGACAGCAGACTGAACTGGAAGACCAACATCAACGCTGTGTACAAGAAGGGGATGAGTCGAGTCTTTTTCTTGGGGAAACTTCGATCCTTCAACGTGTGCAGCAAGATGTTGGAGATGTTCTACCAGTCTGTTGTGCATATTTTGTAACTGTAACTCATATTTTGTAACTGTATATATACATACATATATGTATACATACATACATATATGTATACATACATACATATATGTATACATACATACATGTATACATGTATATATACATACATGTATGTATGTATACATGTATATATACATACATGTATGTATGTATACATGTATATATGTATGTATACATGTATGTATACATGTATATATGTATGTATACATGTATATATACATACATATATGTATGTATACATGTATACATATATGTATGTATGTATACATATATGTATGTATGTATACATATATGTATGTATGTATACATATATGTATGTATGTATGTATACATATATGTATGTATACATATATGTATGTATGTATATATGTATGTATGTATGTATATATGTATGTATATATATATATGTATGTATATATATATGTATGTATGCATGTATGCATGTATGTATGCATGTATGCATGTATATACATATATATATATATATATATATGTATATATGTATGTATGTATGCATGTATGTATGCATGTATGCATGTATATACAGTATGTATGTATGTATGTATATATGTATGTATGTATGTATATATGTATATATGTATGTATGTATGTATGTATATATATGTATGTATATATATGTATGTGTATATGTGTATGTATGTATATGTGTATATATGTGTATATGTATGTGTATATATGTGTATATGTATGTGTATGTAGGTATATATGTGTATATGTAGGTATATATGTGTGTATGTATGTATATATATGTATATATGTATGTATGTATATATATATATGTATATATGTATGTATGTATATATATGTATATATGTATGTATGTATATATATGTATATATGTATGTATATATGTATGTATGTATATATATATGTATGTAT